CCGCTTCTCCCCATCCCGGGTGACCCACGCGCGTCTTACTTGTTTATTTCGTACCTTATCGTTTATCTTATGAAATGAATTCGTCTTACCAGGAACTACACACATTCCAGAAGCATCTACTTCTTCTTCAAATGTACAGTTTGGATAATCCTGGTCAACTTTGTCATCAAAATCAACGCATTCAATTTTTCCCGCGTTGTTCACCACAATAGACACACCTCTATCAAGCCCTCCTTCGAGAATCGCCAGATTTTTCATCGATTCCCCCGTCAGAAGACGCTCTTTGTTATTACAAACTAACACTACTTGTTTTGCATGTCGAATTCGAAGGCTGTACATCACTGAATTGCTATAATTTGAAGCCTTTCGACCATAATTTCTCGATCAATTTGCCAATGATTTGTCCGTTTTCTCAGCTGATACTTTGAAAACAGCATGCGCTCTTTGTCTCGTGCAGTTTCTATGACGACAGTCAACCTCGTTATCATTCCAAACAAAAATGGCTCCCGCTCTGAAGAGGTTTTGCTAAAAATACAAGCCAAAAACTAATATCTAACAGTGATCCACAAGGAGAATAGATTCTTTTTTTCAAAGAAATCATATCTATCGTTTTAGAGGCGTCGAATCTCCTTCAAGCAATTGGGCTAGAACGTGGTACTATCTTCAGGGAAAGAGTGTTTTGTAGACGTACCGCATCCATTTGCAGAGATCAAAATGTCCCGGTCAGGTTCTCAGGGTTCTAACAAGCAACCACGCTCAGGTATGGAAGAATTAAATTAAATCGAGTAAGGCTAAAGGGAAAGTTGTATACATAAAACTTCTCCATGCAGGTATTGACGCATTAAGTGCGAGCTTTGTCTCAGTCGATTCAATTTAATACGCTAAGTACACTTCAAGTTCTCTATCTAAGAAGCCTATATTGCATTTATAAAGTTCCGAGTAATAAATTACACTGTATCATGATTTTCCAACTAAACACATTTTACTAGAAGCTGAGGTTGTAAATGTTGTTTTTGCATACTTATAGGAGCACAATCTGCCTCTCGACAGTCAGACAAAGCAGGTTTTCAATCTGCAAAAACAAGTTCTGGAAAACATTCTGCCCTATCAGGTATAAATTATAAATTAAGCTTACGTGCTTCATGTACATGCACTCTCATGGATCGGACCGGAGAATGTCATTTAAGTGTTTAAGTGTCAGTTACTCGTAGAAGGATTTAGAACTGATACATTGGAAGTCTTGGCAAAATTTCACATATTCCAAAAATCTGAACTTCTTAAATAACTAGAGTCTTGAAATGTTTTTAAAATCTTCTATTTTGAAAACTTGGCTCTTGAAGTTCAGCAAGCCTATATAGCTGCTCTGAACTAACATCACTGGCAGGAAAGGTCTATAACCTTAATAAACTTTAACATCTGATTTTGTATTAGTTACTTGAATATGTGTTATAAAGTAATGTTGTTCTGTCACATTTTTATTTTATTTTATTATTTTTTTATTTATTTTTTATCCATCAGTAATTGAGTCTGTGGTAAATCCCAATCACAATCCATTTACTGTTCCCCATGATAATGATGTGTTTATGCTACGAGACAAGGAACGACAGAGAAAAAAACAGGTGATCTCTTATGATTCTGAGCTGTATGTAAGAACTGTCGTGATTGAACTGTGAGTGATTTTTGACAACCTTAGTACTTAGTTAGATTCAAGTCTTCTTCCAAGTCAAGTTAAAACTGTCAGCCAGTGGTGTAATATAAGTCTGGTCTGTTGAAACTCGTTCAAGGTCAGCTGTGATGGTTGGTTCTACAGTCTAGTAACTTTCCTTCGTGTTGTTGATATATGTTATTTTTTCGTACGTGCAAAGCAAAAAGTGTGAAGAAACGAGGTAGCTGGTGACTCAAAACTTAGAAATAAAAGCACTGGTCTTGAAAGACAGTGCAAGAGTAAAGAATTCAACACAGTGACCTGGCAGCCAGTGCTCATTTAAAAGTATTGACTGTAATGTTTTTGAAACTAGTACCATCACTTTGGTTTCAATTTTAGGAGAGAGTTCAGCAACGCAGCTTGAAAGTGCACGAAAAGACAACCTACACATCACGGGTTAATGCAAAAACAGCTGCAATGAGAAAAATAGCAGATGAAGGTGACGATGAATTTGTTGAAGAAGAGAAAAAGAAAGAAAAGGATGGAGTGATTGCTGTGAAAGATGATCCTCAGTTCACACTGGCAATCACAAGAGGTACATGTACATACTGGGGCAATCACTTTATTTATCACAGTCAAATTAGTTACCAAGGATTTAGTAAAGGGCCGGCTACTGGCTTTAATTTCATCAGCTGAAAGACAACTTAAATCCTGCTGAAATTTACCATGAAAACAATCTAAGACTTGAGGTAACTTTTGGAGGTGCAAATTACCAGTAGTGCAAGCTGGGCCAGTTGGGATTGTTAATGAGCTGGCTCAATGTTTTCTAGCTTAGAGGATCCCTTACATATATACTGGCTACCTTGTGGAGGCACACAGTATGATGCATAATTGTAACAGTAATTGTTACAATGATTCTTTATTTATTCAATTTCACTGCGATTATATAACAAAGAAGAAAAAAAAAATCATATACGATTATTCATGTAGTCAGCTGCACTGAGATGTCACACACCCTCATGCACCATCTTCTAACAGTGAAGAGTTAAGTATTGGTTTTACTTCGCAGACCGGCACGTAGAGAAAGAAAATTTGGCAGACTTTATTTCTAAGAAAAGGGAAATGTTTCTGGTTCAGGTATGGATACTCGACATGCACAAACATTACATATATTTCATATATGTATACTGGAATTTAATGTTCCTGTTTTCAGTTAAGAATGTAGAATTTTATATAAATTTTAATGAGCATTTCTCTGACTTCAGTTGATTGGTACTGTTCATTTACAACATTTAAGGAAACTTACAATTTTCAGTCGATAATAATGAGTTTTCCACCAACAATCTTTTTCTTGTCTGTGTACTAGTACTCATTAGGTGTCAAGCGTGATGAAATGAGGAAACTGGAAGAAATAGCTCAGGTATGTGTGTGGCTTTATGATTTAAAAACTCACAATTAAACAAATATGCACTTACTTTCAAATGATGTAAAATAAATGTAACTTAAAGTTGATATATATCATTATACATGTATATGAATGGTCCTTTATATCGGTTGATTATTAGACCCTAGAACCAGATCTGAACTTATTTAGGAAGGCTTGATCATGAACAAATTAAAGCTACATTGTAGGCAAGAGTCTTAGTTTTATTTAGTAATTAGAAGTAGGGTGCATTATAAAATTTTGACCTTGTAACCTTCATTTGAAGCATCATGCATCCCACAGTATGATAGAGAACAAAAGAGGATGAAGGATTTACTAGAGTTCTCCTAGTCTTATGATCAGGTCACAATCTCTGCTTTGATCAAGGCATGGTGGCATGGGTCCTTTATTTTGCTGGGACTTAGAACTGGTATTTAAACTCCAGTGCATTTACTGTATATGACTGTATGATCTTGTTATCAGGCGGAAGAAAAGAAACTTGAACTGGCAGAACAGTACCTTGAGGAAGATGCTGCAATGTTTGATGAATTTCTTAAAGAGAATGACAAGAACTCGGTAGAAGCCATTAAAATGTAAGCTGAGGATGCAAATTGAAAATAATAAGTAATGGAGCTGTCATGGGCTCTATGCAGGTTCTTAAACTTGTGCACAAATATTAAAAGGGTTTTGCTTTCTTTAATTTTACAAATAATATTACCGTAAGCTCTTATAAATGACTTAAGCTTGAGCAGCTGCAATAAAGGAATATTGATTAATTTAACATGTACAGGCTAAAACTGTACTTCCCATCTCAAAGACTGGATGTGTTCCTGTTAAACATTTTATAGGGGAAGGGGGCAGGGAGTCCAAATTATATATTTGACCCAGTTTAAAATACATTTATAATCTAATTACATGACTGTACATGTACGATGCATTCAACCGTGCAGGTAATAGATAAATGAATAGATTCAATTGAGGCCTTGAGCTACTGTACTGTATTTTAATTCCAAGCTTTTGTCGTTCTTCGGCATCATCAGAGGATGAAAGAAAATATTCCATAGTGCGTGATATAAAAGTGGTGCAGTTGACAAATGATAGAATATATTAGGGGCAATGACTGTAAATGTGGTGATGGAGTATATGCAATACTGTGGACAATAGCTAATGAGTGTGAGTGATAAAGCAGTAAAAATAAAAATAAAGCAGTTCAGGATAAAATGAAATAAAATTAAGTAAAATTTCTCTGAGTTTGATACATTCTTTTGCAAATATACAATAAAATGGACAATCGTTAGTGAGTACAAGGGATAAAGCAGTTCAAAATAGTTCCAAATAGAATGTCTGACTCTGAGGTCAATGCATTCTTCATATTAGAATAATGTTTTTACATACAGTAGCTTATTACATGGTGTATCTTTCTGCAGTGCTGAAGCTGAAACAAAACTTAAACTTGAAAAGGTAGCTGAGATCAAGAAAATTAATGCTCAAATGATGGCAATAAAGAGGTAAATGTCCCTATTTATTTATTTACCTGTAGATGCAAAAACACTGTTGTGCAATGTTATTTAAAATGTGCACTGCATCTGTTCATTATAATTGTAAAAAAAAGTTAATAAAAGTGACATACATGATTGTAGTATTTACACTATTAATTTGTTTGTTTAAATTGTTTTGAAATTTCACAGTGAAATATCTAAAAATGAGGACACACTCAAAGAATATATGCTGTACAAACAATTCCTGGACTCCCTCACTCCACAGGTAATGTTTCCATATTCATTATATCAATAATTAATATAATATAGATTGTACTGAAATTCATTTTTTTTAAATCAGTAGCAAACTTGTGATCATTAATTAGATACCACAAGGAAACAATGTTCAATATCCGTGATCATATGCAATGCTTCTTTAGGTAAAAAAGTTAAGTGTGCATATGAACCAAGGGGCCCATCAGTGCTGGAACTCATCCTGGTTTCTGTAGTATGATGTGGCTCTCAGAGGAGTGTTTCTACTCCCCCCTGGATAGGATGCTAAGTTTGCCAGTACCCATTTATATTCCTGGGTGGAGAGAGGCACTGTGCAAGTTAAGTGTGTTGCCCAAGAATACAACACAATGTCCCCAGCCAGGGCTCAAACCCTGACCGCTCGATCCGGAGACAAGAGCACTAACCACAAGGCCACAAAGCCTCCTATACATGCTCTTTAGTCTTTCCATAATTCCATAAAGTCATGTCCTTTTCATCAGACAATCACACAGTGTACATATAACTGTACATGTCTGTTTGTAAACATACATAACCGCATGTTTGGCATATATTTAATAGTGTCAGTGGTGCATTTGGCATGCTATTTGTTCTCAGCAGCATTTTCCCATTAATCGTTTCAATTGTTAAATATTAGTTTATTACTATCAAATTAACAGGAATGGAGAGATGACAAACGAAAAGCAAAGGAAGAGAAAAAGGTTTGTTTTAGACATACTGTGATAATCAACAGGTAGCTTTATAAATATTGGCCATCACCAAATTGTTCAGTGCTTACATGTACATGTACTTGTTACAACATTCAATAGAGCTGTTATTGAAGTTATCAACAAAAGCCTGTCAATTCTGCTTTGCAATAACCCTTTCACCTCATTTGTATACCTGTTTAAATAAAAGAATATTTGATTGTTGCAATATCAGCTAATCATTAAATCTGTCCATTGCCTGTTGCATTTGTGCTCATCAACTCCCCCCCCCCTTGCCATTGTTTTTGATTTTGCTCACACCCTCAACAAGCTAAGAGAAATTTAAGAGATCTGTGAACAGATGTGTGTCATTATCATCGCAAACATTTTTTTACAACACACTGCTTCACAAGCTGAGTGTTTTTGTTCTGGTGATTCGTACATGCAGTGATGTACAATGTACAAGCATTTGTTCACTTCAAATAAATGTAACCACTTTTGCTTTTATTATATATTTTGGTTTATTTAGTCCTATTTTCTCTATCACAGAGGGAAAAACAAAGGGAAAAGAGTTCATTGACAAAAAAGAGAAGTATGTACATAGAGCTATATGGAGTTAATTGGTTTTTGTTTGTTTGTTTGTTTGTTTGTTTGTTTGTTTGTTTTGGAAAGGAACATTTTAAATGCCTACAGGAGATATTCTCTAATGATTTGATTTCTGTTTTTAGTATCTATACACACTTCAGACAGAACATCCAGCCGTGCCAGTCGAAAGGACAGCAGAACAAGCTCTGTGAGTAATCAATGGTCTCATGCATGCACTATCTTTACATGTACTAATCTTTATTATTGCAGTTTCTGTCAATATCATGCATATAAACCTGCCTGGTGTGACGTGTAGAGTATGGGACTGTACATGTATCTTGTAAGGCCGGTCTTTTGTTTAAGAAATAGAAAACATGTACCGTGTTGCTATCGAGTCATAGAAACACGACTTTTAACCAATCAGCGCGCGTATTTTCTTAAGACTTTTTCCTAATAAACAGTAATACACGGTACGCCGGAGGAATTTTGAAAACCGAGTTTTCACTCAGAAAACAAATCAAATGTTTTCCTTCCACACTATGCCAACACAACGATCACCGGTCATTTTGGATTTGTGTTTGAGGAAAACGCGGTCAGGGAAATCACGTGATTATCGTGACGTCATCGTTTTCGAAAAGTTCCGTTTTCAAAATGTTTTACAATACAATACAATGCAATGCAATGCAATGCAG